AAATTGGCTCTAAGGACTAAAGTGTAGGTTTACAATATTTCTTAAATGCTAATAGGATGATCTTTTATTGCAAAAAAAAGAAAATATTTGACAACCCTGCCAGCTCCCTTTTATTCAAAGTATGATGTTTTATAAGGCTTTTTTATCTTTGTATAACCTTTATAAGTAGTGGTTACTATAGCTTACTGATCACAAACTCCTCAGAAAATGTCTGTTTAAAAAAAAAAGAAACATTTTACTGAAGCTAAATGTAGCTCTGTGGCTTTTACATTTGCCAAATTCATGTGGATATAAGCTATTACCATTTAAGCTCCTATGTTAACAATTCATACTATTCTTACAGTTAGAAATGAGATGCTTTGAAGATTTAGAGACGTTGATATCCAGCATGTTCAGCCTGCAGGAAAGCTTATTTAAATGCAGTGCACAACTTTATCATCAGTCAGCCCCCTGCTGTGCGGTATTTTGTCATATTGGTCCCTAGCTGAGTCACGGCGGGCTTTAACAGTGGGGAAAGATCAGTGACTGCTAAAAAAAAAAAACGCTGGTAAAGTGGTCTTTCACCGCTACCACCCTTATAAATACAGTACAGGGCTTACACACACTATTTAAAATGGACTTTTATCACAGTTCTAAAGCTGCCTTCACATGACAAGCGCTGTTTGCCATTGTGTATCTCCTTTGTTTACTTCTGTAACATAGTGACATCTCTACATAACACTCACACTTCTATTGTATGTACCAACACCACTTATGTTATCTCGCTCTGCCACTCATAATGGAGATTTCCTGACTTGGAGCTTCTATCTGCCAGCAATCCAACCCATTGTACGTGATGCCGTTGACCAATCACAACAGAGCCGGCAAGCTGACCAATCAGAGCAGACTGGGCTCTGGTTTCAGACAAAGGGTGAAAAGAGGTGCTGCACTATGAGAACAATAAAGACCTTTTAAACATTAAAGCATGGAAACATGTCACAGGAGAGACATAGAATACAAATATAAACCTGTAAACTAGCATAATATGTCACCTTTAAAGCACAAGTAAATACTGTAATATTGGAACTGATTTGAGAACAATCCTCCAGATATGCAGAAAATCTCAAGAGCCCGTAAACTGATGTCTCACTCACATTCTTGTGGGATTTATGCAGAGGACAGAGTTGACCTTTTCGAGAGAGCTCTTCTGGATATTAATATTCTCTACATTACATCTTCACTTTGTGTCGCTAGAAACTCTGAAATTGACTTTCAATTAACCCTATTAATGACCTCATGTTACACTCCCAACGTGACATGGCACAAAGTAACAACAGAGCATTCGAGGAAGTCGATCAGTGAATGACGATACAACTGCAACTCTTTTCATAACTTTCTTCAGAAACACTTCTGCTGCCAATGCCTGCTTTTGTCAGGATGTTTTGAAGCCTTGAAATTGTACATGATGGTTGTGACTCACTAACATTGATGTAACGTCGACATTTCTTCCGCTGACGTTGCACAGTGACGTGTTTACTTTGCCCCCTTTTCAACTAATCTCTCTTTTTTTGTGCCGTTTCTTTTGTTGTTTGAGCCCAAAATCACCCTGTTGTTTGGCTGTCTCTTCCCGCTCACAAAAGTGGACTTCCTCCTGTGTGTGTGTGTGTGTGTGTGTGTGTGTGTGTGTGTGTGTGTGTGTGTGTGTGTGTGTGTGTGTGTGTGTGTGCGTGTGAGACGCAGAGAGATTGGGTGGGAGTGAAGAGAAAGAAGATATATATAATTTAGGCTGGAACTTGTCCGCGCCAACTTGCAGACCTGGACCAGAATTCACTCAGATCTCCTCTCTGTTTCTGCTAGTATGTCCTGGCAGCTGTCCACTGTTCAGGAAATAAACCACCTTATTAAGCAGTGTATCATTTAGCTTTAAAAACGTCACTGCGAAAACACTCATTTACTTTCTATCGACTAATAACCGCCTTGTGCTTTGCTGATGGCAATGATTTAAGGCATTATCTAAAGTGGTTTTTAAAACATTTAAATATATACATACACATATCAAGGCATGCACAACGTCAATTGCAATGTCAGAAGTCTTGCTGATATAAATGAATTTACTCCACTCTTTTCCTTTCTCCTCTTATTTGTGAAGCTACATTTCTGCTCATATCTATACGTAACAGGAGAAGGAAGCCCACAGGTTTCCGATTTCTTTGAAAAGTTTGTGACCATTAAATGTCTCGTGGACTTTTTCCGCTCTTTCATTCAGTCCCCTCTGGAGGGCAAAGCACCTGAATCTCACATAGCCTGCCCGGTGACAAAAATGATGAGACACTTTCTGTTTGACACAGGAGATGGGTGGAAGGTAGACAGGCAGGCTTTTGTGTTTGCTCGTCAGCGAATGAGGTTTGGTGTGAAAACCCAACATCCTGTTCCTCAAAGTGAGGAAATGTTTCAGGTGCTGTGATATGTACTGTGTGTCACTGTTGGGTCTCTGTAAAAGTGTCTTCTTCATCATTTATTTCTTCTTTGTCTCTTTCTTTCTCTGAAAAACAAGTGAAAAGTTTGTGTGGGAAAGAGCATAAGCCTAAACACTTTCAACCAGGAAGAACTTGTGACATGAATACTGTGTTTTGTATAACCGTTGTATAGTCAAGCACGAATATTTTAGCTACAGTATAGGCTGAAATCTAGATTTTATTAGGAATCATAAGAATGTGTAATGTATAAAAGATCCAAAAGACATCTAATTTGACATCCTCATTATTCAGCCTACCTTATTATCAGCTTCAGCTGTACTTGGAGATTATTGCAAATTATCAAATGTTAGCATGCTATGATCACAGATAGTATTAACAGTGGTACAAAATCAGTTTGTTGGTTAACATTGCCATGACTTAGCATGCTGAGGTTAGCATTTAGCTGGAAATGAGCTGTGCCTAGGTACATTATAACAGAGGCGCTAGCATGGCTATAGGCTCCAAAAAAGGGCTTGTTTGTCTTTTAATTTAAGTGCTGTGATAATTGCCATTTTCAGTTATGTAACTTTGGTAATATAAAATCGAATTGGTCGATTATGGCAGTCTATTTTAGCTTCGAAGCTAACCTATGTTGCCTCCTGCCTCTGGAATGCCATTGGATGCGAGGTCGAGTAACTTGCTTTCCACTCATTACTGTCACAGCTAAAGGGCAGGAGGAACTCTACACTCTCCAACATTGATCTCATTGGATCACTGTGTGTGTGTGTGTGTGTGTGTGTGTGTGTGTGTGTGTGTGTGTGTGTGTGTGTGTGTGTGTGTGTGTGTGTGTGTGTGTGTGTGTGTGTGTGTGTGTGCGCACATATGTGTGTGTGTGTGCATGTGTGCGCATATATATCCATATCCCAATCCTTCCAGTTACGAGTTCTGTCACAACAGCAGGTAAATTACTACAAGCAACGGAGCACTCAAGGATTACCCTCATGTAGGATTAGCATTCGTACCTCTGTGTGTGTGTGTGTGTGTGTGTGTGTGTGTGTGTGTGTGTGTGTGTGTGTGTGTGTGTGTGTGTGTGTGTGTGTGTGTGTGTGGATATGATTGTGTGCTTTATCCACACCGGCTTGTACTGTATGTGCGTAAGTAAGATAAAAAGAAATGAGAAAGTTTGACTCTGACTCCTAAGCTGCTTTGTCAATGCATAATTCATCTCTTTCCACAGGCTGCACCTTGGAGCCCTTAAAAACTATTTCAGCTTCTCCAACTGCAACAAAAAACAACATAAACAATCTTATAATGTTATTATTTTCCTTGTCTCTTCATCAGATTGAATGACACAAACAGAAAGCATTACGCCGGCTGTTACTGTAGTTTGGATTTAGCCTTCTAGGAATTGGTTACATTTAGTCACTTGGATCTTATTGATTTTTCTTGTTTTGTTTGTGCAAATTTGATATTGAATTTCAACTCGGCCATTACAGTATGAATTGAGTAAATACCTGTGATTTCCTTTTTAATTCATTTTCAGCCATTCTTTTTTTTTTATCCCAGTAAGAAGCTGAAATTTGAGGTTTATGCTGTTGCTGACTTGTTTACTAATGTCATCGTGAGATATGATGAGAGAAGTCATATTTTACGGCTCTCTGGTTCTTTGACTGAACATTCAACTGTGTTATGGCTGTTTATATCATGTTTGATAATGTTTCTGCTCTATGACCTGTTTCACTCCTTCTAGTAAGACACCGTCAGATCTCAGCGTGTAGTTTGTCAGTGAGACTAAACATAAATGTGTAATTATTGAAAATCCACTTCAGAAATATGACGGTAGATCCCAGGTTGTAAAGAAAGAAAATCATGTTTTCCTTATACCATAAATAATAATGTACTAATAAACGTATCAAATTGGATTAGCTTTAAAGTTGACATTTTGAAGATCCTCGTTTTCTTCTCTTTTTTTCTCAATTTGTGATTCCAGGTGTTTTCTTTACAGATGTTACATCCCGGTAATGTCCCCACAGACGCTCAGTTTGTGAAACCACACATGGAAAAGCTTTCATAATTGGGCTGAGACTCAATTAACATTACGTTACCTCATTTTACTGAAAGTGATAAAACAGACGTTCATTTAAAAGTTAATCTTTGATTTTAACATGTTTATCTTCTCTGTTGAAGATGTTCTGCCGTGCTAGAGTTCACTTTTAATTATAACAAAATGTCATAAAGTATTTGAAAAATGATTTGTCAAAAGAAAGACTAAACATGACAATTATTTAAAAAATTCAAATATTCTGGAAGCACAACAGAAAGAGCAATAAGAGTGCTCAATACCTCGCACAGGATTAACAAAAGATCAAAGTTATCACTCGTTTCTTTTACTAGGCCTCTTAACAGGAGAGGCAGAGTTTAAAAACGACAGTCCAATGAACCACCAAAACGCAGAGCGTAGTAATTGTAGGCTGACGCACACAGTTAATAAAGACATCCTCAGTTTGCAGGGTTGTGTTCTAATCGCACTGACCCTGCCCCCCCCTGCCCTGTGTTTCTGTGCAGACCCCGGCAGATTGGCTCCGTGTGCAGCGGGCTACAGTCCCAGGTGCTGCAGTGCTACAGCGACCATCCACAGCAGACCCTGCTCTGCTCCAGCCTGGCCCGACAGTACATGAGCTGCGTCCATCAGGCCAAGAAGGTAGGCGGGGGTTACACACTGTACTGTGCGTGGGTGTGGGAGCGCCAGAGAAATTGTGTTTTTGTTTTGTTGAAAAAAGTAAATCCACATATCTCTGCTAATAATGCATTTCCCATTATCATTGTTTTGTTTTTTCTTGGTTATCACTCCTTGCTCATTCTCTTTAAAGGTCTCCTATTATGCAAAATCAACTTCTTCATGTATTTCATACATCAACATGTGTCCCCTCTGTGTAAAGAGAGTCTGAAAGTTTCAGGAAAAAGGGTTCGCTCCCTTTTTGTCCTGATCCATTTCTATAAAAACCTGTCTGAAAATGAGCTGATCAGATTTTGGCCACTTTATGATGTCATAACGATTTTTTGGCTTGTGTAACCATTAACCAATCACCAACCAAGGTAACCTCCGCCCACCTTATCACCTGAATCTCCTACTAGAGCACCATTGTGTTCTTTTTAACCAAATCTCTCTCAGAGGGGCGTGGGGAGTGGCTCCTTGTTTTCATCTAAAGTAACAGACAGAGAATCAGCACTTTGGAAACAGGGCTGAAACAGAGGGGATTATGGGTAATGCTGCAATGCATGATCTGTTTGGTATTTGGAGCCAAACACTTCAGAGACATGTTTTGTATATATCTGAGACCTATAATATATTGATGAAAAACAGTATAAAAGGGGAACTTTAAATAACAAACTTGGCAGAATACTAAGAGTAACTCACTTTCCTTTAAAGATACACTTTTTCTTTTATTAGCTCACCGTTTTTCAAAAATACAATAGAAGGATAGCAGTTCATTAGTGAGACCTGGAAGAATCTTGACAGTGATGGAAGAAAAAGCTGACAAACCATCCTTTCAGTCGTCACACTGAATCGGTTAACTTCAGAGAATAGTCATCTGCATACTTCCACACTTCAGATAGGAAGCTAAATCCATGAGACATGCCTATTGAGCAGATTTCGCCAGGCGTGCTCTGTGTTTTGGAACTTTCTGATAGGAAGATTACACCGTTATTAGTGTATTAAAATCAGTTTTGGCATTCAGCTCTTTGAAATGCATTCTGCTTTCTGCTGATACTTTCACAAATACTGTGCAGACCCTGCGCTTATCTACAAAGTGCTTATTTTACCCGATTTCTCCATCAAAAAACAATAACGACTGGGGCAATTTGCACATTATTATCATGACAAAATGCACTGATACGGCTCCAAAGTAGATAAAAGACACAACACAACAATTGGTGAATTTGGCGGTTTAAACGGTCGATAAAAGCCAAGCAAAGGCACAAATTAAAAGCAATCAGTCTTTTGAAACTACTTCCAAAGATCCATTTGCCAGTGGGATGGTGCTATTTGGAGGGAAAAACTGTGTTAATGTGAGTTTAGTGGGTTTTGTTTGTGACCATGTGTTGTATGAATTCAGATTGTGAGTGTCAGAGTAAAGGCAAGCTGTTTTCCTCTTCTTGAATACAGATTCAATCAGGCTTATCCTTGACAGAGTGTGTGTGAAGGAGAAAGAAAGAGAGGGGGAACACGGAAGAGATGAAAAGAGAACGAGTGAAAGGGAAAATGCATTTCAAGATAATGCTTCAGTCTGATTCAACAAGTAAAAGTAAAAGTGTGGGCTTAACGTTTGTAGAAGAAGATTTGACTTTAGAATTGAGGTCTAGTCCTTTACAAACATTACTGTTTGTTGTATTGCAGGCCAAACTGTCAAATGACTATGAACCGAAGTGTATTCATCTTACAAATCTGAGTTTGTCCGCCTGAAAGACTAAGATTTTACACCTTTTTGAAATTCCAGACATCTTCTTTCGTACCATCTCGATCCCAAACATTCTATCGCTGACATCTTCTCTGTCTAACCTTTCTCTATTGGGATAATCTAGCAGAGATTAAATCTTGCTCTCCTGCGGTACTCTTTTGAAGATGGTTGGATTTTCAGACTGACCTTTAAGACTTCTAAAGAGTGCTCTATCCCAGGTTCAAACTCAAAAGGGCATATAAATGTTCCTAGATTTAAGATGTAAGTATAAAAGACCTCCCATTTAAGTGCCTGATTAAGAAGTCCACATTCTATACGCATCCTTTTTGGTGTCCTTTACAGTTTTATTTCTCTCTTTATCCACCCATCTTTAGTTTGATCTGCTCATCCTTGGCTCTTTCGTGCAGCTGTCGTTGTTGATCCATCTTTTCTCCGCCACTCCCCATCCTCCATTTGTCCCTCTTTATATATAAGAGCTTCTTTTACCGCCCTTCACGGCACACTTTGTCACATTAGCTAGTGCATTAGCTCTGAGCTGCGCTGCTAGCTGTGGAGCTTTGTTATGTCTTTCAGACCCACTGCTGTCTTTGTTCAAAACACAATTACTCAAAAGGCCCTTTAAGGAGGCTGAGTCCGTAAAACACATTTATACAGACAACAAAGGGCATATAATAATAGTAATAATCAAAATTATAATAAATCATGTTATTATATAGCGCTTTTCCTGGTGCTCAAAGCATTTTACAAGCAAGTCAAGACAAATAACAACAAAAGTCAAAAGTGCTAAGCTCGGTGGAATAGGGGTGAGGGGCTAGTGAATACAAAGTTATATAGTGAACTTAAACAATACAAATGCGTAATAATAAATGTGTCTTATGCAGCATACCGTTTCTATAACTGGTATATCATTAACTGAAACATTTTAATAAAATATAATATATACAGTATATATATAGTATTGGACCGATGTGAGTGCTTTTATATTAATATTGTTATGAAAACTTAGTATTTTATTCATTGAAAACTCAAATTTCCGTGGCCCAAACAAATGCAGCATTGTATTTCTACACAAGTAGGACACACATCTTTGTATCTGTATATCTTATAAGAATAATTTCATGTACACACCATCGGTTTTCAGATTGAAAACTCTTGGACCCCTGGGTTGAAATATGAATACTCAAGTAGCCCCTTTGAATGATAGCTAAATAACTGGAAATGAGTCAAATAGAGAGTAAAGACGAGTAAAGATTCCACAAGAGGCTCTTTATCAGTCAGACCTGATGAAAATAAAATGAGTGGTCAGCCCCAAGACCCCTCTGGACACACAGGCAGCAGTCCAGTCTGCCTGTCTATAACAAGGATCTATCAGAGCACAGAAGAGTTTTACTGGGGAAAGTAAAGTACGGCTGCAGGTTGTTCAGGGTCGACAGGGAGCAACTTGCACTGCAGATTAAGTCATGAGAGAGCGCACCTCCTCATATTACAGTATGAAATATGAAATTCAATAGACCTCGGAGGAAACATACTGTTAAAGGTGATACTGTTAGTAATGGAATGTACACCTTTCCTGTGCTTTCCTTCAAAAAGTGGAAGTGGAGTCTTTTTCCTGAAAAGTAGGATATTGCATGTTCTGCGTGTAACATTATGAAAAACTCAATAGCAAAATGTTGTTTTGTTGGATTGCGAGATTTTACAAAAACAAAACTGATTGTTAAATCTTTCGTTTTCTAAATCAAACAATCAAGTGTCTCCAGGTAATGTAACATTTCTGAAATACCGGTACATTGCGTTATCACTGGGTTTTTGGCATTTTGTAATCTTCAAAAGACCATTTATCTGCTGCGCTGAAGGACAATAATAATCCAACAATATTTGTGAGCAAACAAGCAAAACCCTGACTGTTCATCGGCAGACAAGAGTGACTGAGTTAGAAAAGACATACAGTGTAATTGGAGGCAGTCATTTTCCAGCTTTGTGTGCCAATAACATGACCGCCCATAGACAGCAGAGCGCCCGCTGAAACCCCCCCGACAGCTTAAAAGCTCTGTTCTTTTGTTATCTGTATTTGCTTTTAACACTTTTCTAAAGCAAAGGCATTCTTCCCTGTGATTAAAGGGAGAATGCTGTATTTTTCTCACAGCAATTCATCTTTGTCTGAAGTTGATACCTTACGGCGTTTCTTGAATATAGTTATCTTTCTCCCGTTTGTCTTTTGCTGCACATTGTCTGCCTATTTTTGTCCTCGTCTTCTGGTTACTTTTGTATCATGTATGCAGAGTTTTGATAAAGGAATCACTGCAGCATTAGATTCTTAGCTAGGATCACTTCTGCCCAGCTACTTTCTTTTATGGCTTTCCAAGAGTTTATTCATAGAAGCTCGACTATATATATCTGTTCGTCTTTGTCAGCCTGTCTGTTTGTCAATCAATCTGCCAATGAAACCTGCTTATCTGTCTTCTCTGCCAATGTCTTGATCTGAACATCACTCGAGTATCTATCTCACTTTTCCTGTCTCCCGCTTGAGGTCCACCCAACTCCCTATCTACAGTGGCGCAGCCTTCCTTATATGTCACTCCATTTTTCTTTTATGTTTTAAGATTCACACACACACACACACACACACACACACACACACACACACACACACACACACACACACACACACACACACACACACACTTTTCCCACAGTCTGCCCTTTGCCATTCATTAAATACAGTTGCTTCAGGATATGGCCTTGCACCTCTTCTCTGCATTTACCCCCATCCCTCTGCTGTCTGGTTTGCCCATTGTCATGCATATGTCACCGTGTGTGTGTGTGTGTGTGTGTGTGTGTGTGTGTGTGTGTGTGTGTGTGTGTGTGTGTGTGTGTGTGTGTGTGTGTGTGTGTGTGTGTGTGTGCACACACACACACACACACACACACACACACACACACACACACGGTGACANGTGTGTGTGTGTGTGTGTGTGTGTGTGTGTGTGTGTGTGTGTATATGTGTTACCTGGCCACATGGTTGATGACAGGGGAGAAGTTGGTGGGTCCGTAGAGCTGAACTGACTTCAGACTCTGGTAGTAGGCCTCCACCACGCCTTCGATCCCCGTACAGTACGGGTTCTGAGGGTTCCCATTCTACATTAAGGGGAGGAGAGGAAACCGTTAACTTGTATGATTCATTCCAAAAATGGGCACAGAACGGAAAACACACCAAGCAAAGCAGTGGTGCAGCGGTGTGCGTCTACAAAACGTTTGCAATAATTTCACTTATGCAGCAAATAATAGCCAGAAGTTACCCGCAACCAATCATTAAAATGACTCCTGCGTCATGTTGACCTATGATACAAATACATTTTAGCACCCAGAAGCACATAAACAAATGTCTCAGCTGCACCAGGTTTCTTCGGGGATGCATTTTCTCATTTTGTCAGATAGGTGGTTTAAAACTCCACTTTTTTCTTCCCACCCTGCTTTAAATGCTACTCCCAACCACTCTTCTTCGTACCAAGGCAAACTCGTGGGAGATCCGTCCGTCGGGCGGCAGCTTGGCTCCGAACCCGAGTGCAGGAAACATCTTGTCGCTGTCATAGTCCTGGATGATTTCTCCCACTGCCTTCAGGGCCATTGCGTAAGCATTCAGTTGGTAGGGACTCATGTAGTGGAGAGAGGTGGGCTGGGCTGGGTTACCTGTTTATAACAACAATTATAATCACTTTGTTACGGAAGTAAACAATGAAGAAAACCCCCCATAAGCAAATGAGGGTTTCTTACAAATCCAAAAATGTATATAGTTGTAAAATGAAAAAGTCAAGAATGCTGTTTTTTGTAGATAGGATTTTAATTGACTAAAACATTAATCAGATGATTACTTACTCATTAATAAATAACGTGTGGGCTTGATTGAGCTTACGGGATCCGCTATCACGATTTCAAAAGCCACTTCAACTTCTAAATGATGTTTTCCTAATATTTCTGTAGGGATTCAAAATCTAATTTAAAGTGTATCTGTTTATATGACTTCAAGATCATGCATTACAACACTGATGTGACTAAACTTAGTGCAGATTTTGTGAATGTAACAAAATACTTTTTTGACTTAACATATCCCTATTTCGGCTGTGTTTTAATAAACCGCAGAACACCTCTAGCCCCTCTCCTGGAGTGATGTTTTGCTGAGAGCCAGGCAAGGTTAAGCACACCTCAGGATTGAACATGTATTGCCGCCTGCTGATCTGCTGCGATGGAGCTCAAGAGCAGATGGATAACACAACCCTTAAATCACAGCACCGCAGCGCTCCTTACTGCACTCAGGTGTTATGGAGGGGGCCATTTGGGAAACACTTGATTCCCAATCTGAATATATTTGAATACACGCTCTGTGTTCAGTGTGGACTCTGTGTATTGAAGTGGGTCTCTGAGAATGTGTGCGCATTCAAATTCTGTGTGTGTGTGAGCTCACCATTGGAAGCTGTGAAATCGATGGCCACGGTGAAATTAATCTGGGTCCTGAGAAGACAAAAGCAGAGAGATGATTACATAACAATTATGTCCGTACCTTTCTTTTGCTCTTTCTCACACGCACGCCACACACACACACACACACACACACACACACACACACACACACACACACACACACACACACACACACACACACACACACACACACACACACACACACACACACACACACACACACACACACACACACACACACACACACACACACACACACACACACTAATCAGTGTTATTATCCTTGACTCAGCTGCATCTGGAGATGTAAACGCAAACACAATCAGCGTGCCACTAACACACTCACATGTGCCCACATTAACTAAACTAAAAGCAAATTGTTCCTATCATTTGTTTGGCTCTAGATGTAGTTATATTGTATTACTTTTTCAAATCAATCATCAGGCAGAGATGATGAATGACTTTGCTTTATTTAGAAACAGTTTTTAAATGAGACCATTAGATGGTAAAGCTACACTTGGAGGGAAATATAATAAAAACAAACCACCGTCTTTGGAAATGCAACACGAAGAACGTCCAATATCTGCAAATTACTGTAAAGAACATTTGATTTGACCTTACTTGAGTTATGGAGGAATACTAAACTGTACAAATACTCCCCACACTTTAATTGCTACATGTCCCTTAGGTAACTTAGGTAAAAGTAATTATTAGTGTATGATCCATTTCAGAATCCTATTATAAGTCGATGCCAACAAATGTACAGAAGAACTGAAATAATAACTAGAAAATGCATTTCCTGCTGAGAATGATTGTGAATGCTGAACGCTTCATTCCTTTGTTGCTGAAAATGCAGAAATATAGAATATTTGAATAGTTGAAAGTAAGTTTGTTGCTGAATTTAGCTGGAAAAAAACTGGTTAAAGTCAAATGCATTGCACTGAACTGCTGAAAACACTGAAGGTGAAATGTAAAACTGGCAGAGTGTAAACAAGCTTAATATTTTAACATAATACAAACGTAATACGTAATACAAAAATTTAAAAAAGTCCTTTAAGAGCTGAATACTTTAATAGTGCCATTTTTTAAATGATTATTAATGCATTCATATTTCTGTCACAGCTGGTTATTTTTGTTATTTAAGATACGGTAGGCTACTGTTGCTGTAACTATATGTCAATGTTGATTTATTGGTTGATTTATACTTTGTTTAAGCTAAGAATCTGAATCTGTAAAGTATCTGAAAAGTACAATATAAGCGTCTAAAATGTAGTTTAGTAAAAGCATAAAGTAGCATAAATTAAAAATATTAATTCGATTGACTTAAGATGAGTACGAAACTACTTCATTACATTCCTGCACTGCCTTTAGGCTGGCGTCACACTGTCCCGAAATTGACACCAGATGGACACACGAATATGGAATTGTGAATTTCGCACGAAGATGGCCCCGAACTTGATCAACAGCCAAGTATTTTGAACAACTCCGTCATGTTGTTTCCATAGCAACAACAACTTCCTGTCAGCAGTGTAAACTCGCCTTCAAAATAAAAGCATCAAAAATAAAACAGGAAGTTAACCTAAATTACAATTTAAGACATACAACTGCAACGCAAGTAACACAAACAATGTCATATCCTTTTCAGTTTCACAGAACACAAATTGTATTATAATACGATGGCTTCCGAACGGCATTGCGAGGGCTTCACGTAGTCGTGTTGCCTTCCTAAGACAATCAGGCAGCTTCTTGTTTCCTTCGTATTGTTTTCGTGAGGCGGAAAATGTCCGATGTCACCGATGATCACACGAAGTAAAGACGAAGATGACACAATTTGACAAGGTGCCCTCACGATGGCCTTACGAAGGGCAAAATGGACTCATGAATTCAACACGAAAATGAACCTTCGCAAGGTCTTTCGGCAATTTTTTGGCATGCCAAAGATTTTGCCACCGCTCGCGAAGTTGCTTCCAGAGCCCGAGAAACTCCACCGGCGGCGGCTTAAGATGCGCTCACGAATGGCCCGATGTTGTTACGTTCAGAGCCGAATGTGAACATTTCCTTAATCGTGTGTCCATCTGGTGTCAATTTCGGGACAGTGTGACGCGGGCTTTAAGGGAGCTCATGTATTTTTGAAATGGGTTGTACACCATGCTAA